GCCAAGTAATAAGGAAATATCATGACAAATTAAAATTCACCATAGAAAATGTCGCGTAAAAGGCAAGCGTCGTTGGCAGCTGGCAGAGACCAGTGGCGATCCCGAGAAAGGTAGCCACGAAAACGCGGTCCAGGTGTCGTAATTGACTGTGAACACCCAGCGTCTGCTCAGTCACCTGGTCATCTATTTTGCCCGTGGGTACAATAACTGCACCCGCAACCGCTTGTGGAAAGTCATCGTTTTCTGGAATTGTATCCACCCGACTTCGCAGGGGGTTCCATTTTGAACCAGAGCGACACAGTCGCCAGCTTGCCGAAACCGCAAGCAACTGGAACCTAAACAGACTATTAAAAGGGTATTAATGATTTGTTATTATTTCGACCAATTGCCGACATTCATCCGTAAAGAGCGCCCAAGCGATTTTCTATGATACCTTTCGGTTAGGAAACCGGGTGAAACGTTTGAATGGGGCATTTAACCAGTCACCTCCTACTCGACGTCTCATTTACCCCGATTTCTGGGTCTCAACAGTGGAAGGCTAGGCTGTCTGAACTGCAGACTCGTGTCACATGCACCCCCGCACACCAGCTAGAATTTGTGGGAGTAAGATAAAGCCCTAAATGTAACCTGTTTCTCTTCTTGTTTGCCATTTTTTCTTTTGCAACCCATGTGCAAATTTACGCTAAACGGCTGTAGACTAATTACTCTTTATTTCCGTCCAAATTGAGGTGAAAATGACATGAAATTTTTTTAGGAAAAAGTATAACTGACAGATTTAATCCAAAAGAACATGACGCTGTCTACTTGTTAAAACCGAGATTATTACTTTGTTACCTATTTCTTATAATATAAATTAGCTGGGTGAGCCTCATTCAATCAAAAACATCACCGCGATTCACGCATGATCGGACTCAGTGAGTCACAGCCGAGCCTCAAAATTCGTGATGAACCGCCTGACCACACACACCTGAGCATATGCATACCGCAATCTCCACCGTCACACACTGTTCACACACCCATTGTCAATGGCGTCTTGCCATTCGCAATCAAAAACGGCATCCATGTACTAACGAACAAGCACGATACAACTGTGTTTGGCATTCCACTAAACGCTTGAGTCTCCTTCGCCTCTGGTCGTATTTTTCTTCTTGGGGTGCCTGCGTCTTACATCAGAGGTCACAATAAACTGGTGACCTCGGCGTGAAAATCAAACCCACATCAAGGCCCCCAACAAAATCCGTAGGATTTCAGTTAACGATAGTCAGGAAGAACGTTTACCTACCGAACCGTGTACACGTAGAAGCAAGTGAGGTGAAGCGAGGCGAGCACCAGGAGGTCGAGGAAGGCACAAATGACCATCGCGGCAGCCAATCGAGTGGACGAAGAGAAAAACCTCACCAGAATATTAGCTAATTTCTCCGATTTACAAGCCACATGACTTTCGACAAAGCTCACCCCAAGGAGGGGGGCAGCAAGCAAAACAAAAACAGAAAAGAGGTGCAGATGGCCGATTTGGAGTGCGGTGATGTGGACGTAGCACCATCTGAAGGCTGCGGCGGAGATTTCGACGAGAAAGTGGACATACGCGCACCACGCAGCGACGTGAGACAAAAAGAAACGGCTCATGAGTTGCGAGAGATTTCGGTTGATCTTCCAACCCGCTGGCTCAGAGGACCCCAGCCAGATGAGTAGACGATTCAACTCCGAGGCAAAATACTAAAGATTTGAAAGAAAAAATATTGTGGAAGCATAGCAGGTGAGCATTGCATTTAAACCCCGCACGTCCAGTGAACTTGAAACATCTTAAGACGAGAAGGAGGGAAAGGTAAACAGGTAGACTATAAGATGCAAAACTGAAAGTGACTCACGTCAGTTCCAGAGGCGAACACTTCAAACAAGCAACCCTGTCTCAATCCCCCAAGAGAGACCACCCCAAAGGCACTTAAAACGTCCATAGGCGTTTGCTCATGAGGTCCAGCAATGGCCGAACAAGTTGCCTTCTTAATGATTGATAGTCCAACAACCGGACAACTTCCCGCGTCAGCACCGACCGACGCGTTTTCTGCGCGAAGCCATTGAGAGAGGTGGGTCAACTGCCACAGAGATTGGGCGTAGACACTGCACAAGCGTTGAGAGGCCGGAGAAAAGACGGGAAAACGGAAGGCTGGGGTCAGAGTTAAAAGAAGCATCAGGTGAAGAGCCAACAGCAGAACGAGGCAGGGAAACACGGAGGAATTCGTGTTTCCACGGCGTTGACCAAAATGTCGTCCAAGTAAACTTAATGTGTAACTTTGGCTGCACAAATGTGTCAGCCAATTCCTACAACATGAACAGAAGGCAAGGTGTGAGGGATAAGAAGGCGCATGGACGCGTCTCGGCAAGTCTTTGCCGAAATTACTGGTGTGAAATTTGGTTAAGTGCATGGATAAAAGGTGGATGACAAACAGAAAGAATGGGACTTGGGGAATCAGGGTAGAGGTGAAGAATTATGAACTTCGAAATTAACATAAGAAGGAAATGAGACATCGTTACTAATTTTAACTTCGAGGTAACTTAAGCCTACAAAATATAACTTAGAGACCTGCAGGACGGTTTTGCCTCGGTAGCAGGAGAGTCAGGGCAGTGAGGATTGCTGGCACTTCGTGGTGTCTCATAAACCAAATCCACGAGTTTGCGTGTAAGATGACTGAGATGATTTTCCCTCCAACTGAAATCACCACAATGTGACTGGAGAGCCGGAAAGATGCTCTCCGCGTCGAAATTCACCCAGAGAGCAGTGAATGCAGCAGCCTGGGTGGCCGGGTAGAAGGCAGACTCGGAGGTGTCGCCTTCCACAGAGCAGAAAGGCCAGTCGCTGCAATAGTGCCAAAGTAAGCATCCAGTAAAATCCATTAGTTGCATTAAATTTTCCGCATCAATAATGTGGGCAGGTGAAGTGCATTACGTATCATTAAGCCCCTTTCAGTAGCAATTTAGTGTGCCTACTTGAGAGCTGATAATTTATCGCGTACCTAGGGAATGTAACCACCATAAATGTACAAATTTACTAACAGGCTATTGACAGATAAATATAGCGGCATATAAACAAGTAAATGTAGTTCTGAAGGTACATAGACTTGGCTTGCCGGCGTGAAATACACGCATGCTTGCAGCCGGGCATAAGACATGAAGCCTCGTGTTTAGGGTCATTGGTCGGGAGTTTTCCATCTCTGGTACCACAACAGGCTTCAGGAAGGTTTGAAGAAGGGAAGCCGTCACAATCTGAAAAAAGTGTAAAAAGAGGCTAAGCAGATTACTACAGGGCCATTGGCACCGGTTTGTTTCGTTAACACGACGCTCAACTACTCGCTGCATGGATGAAAGACGCACTCAATCTACTTCGTGAATGTGGATACACAAGATTAAGGTGAGGGGTGCTTCGAAGGATGGCTAATGACTAGGTTAAACTTGTGCGAATAGCACGAAATTACCGATGGTATAAAGGCTATCACAAAACAACTTGTAAATGAGACGTGGAAATAAGTAGAAGTCTAAAATGGGAACTAGAAGACACTAATCCTAGTGTGTTGGTTCTGTAAAATCGGATGCTTTTGGAACATGTTTGGAGGCTGCAACCAAATGAGAGGTGAACGATTCATGGTTCCCTTCTACTATCGGCCTTCTCAATGAATTGGCTGACAACGCCTGATGCCGGAAATCTCATCCACCCTCATCAAAATAACCCAAGGGAATCACAATCTTACATACGGCAGAATTGTAATTACCAACAACACTGACAACGACAATCTAGTCAGTCGAAAATGTAAATTCGGAAATATCTAGACTAGGCCACAAAGTCACCTACTTGATTCAAATCCTAGTAGTAACTAGGACCGTAAACGAGAAAATTGCCAGAAAAGCACGAAAATGGATTTACTAAAGTCTACTATGAAGTAAAATAAACTTAACGCATTTCAACTTTTCAGAAGTACTTACTGGTCTGGTCAGTGAGTCCTACGGGTGAAGATCCCGAAACAAGTATGGCCGTTTGTTCGGGGTCAGTAGTGGGGAGACAATGGCCCCAGACGTGAATTCGACGACACCCAGGTCCATCCCTCTTTGGCCATGAACGCAGACTCAAGAAACCAAAACTTTCCGGATTTCTCGAGGCCACAAATACGGTCCACGGGCACTTTCTCTTCGCCTTTGGAGTCAAAAATTGTTTTACTCAATACACACTACTAGATTTTGTAAATACAGCGTTAAATCTAGCATAAAAATGATGAGCCCAGACGGTCTACAGAAAATCAATCTTACAGGGCTGGTGGCTACGTCTCAAGATAAGAAAAACTCAGACCAGAAACATTCGTACACGTGTGGATAAATCTCTGCAAAATGCTAGATGAAAAGCCAATAAAATAAAAGGAAAAAGGTCACACACATTGCCTTAGGTCACCATTCATTTGCAGCCGACTAGACCCATTTCGGCCTTTTTTAGCTTCAGAATCGGAAACAGTAATCTGATTTGGTTGTTTAAAAACTCCACCGAATAGACGCAAGTTTAGGGGAAGTTGCCCCGATTCTAACATGGCGTAAACCACGACATCTAATTAGATCTCTCCAAACCCAAAATTCCCAATTTCGGAAACCTCACAAGCACACTTAAATGACACTTTAGTGTGAGTTAGGACTGAGATGCCGGAGCTTAACAGACCTCAGGAATATGCGCAGCCATTAGGTAAAGGTTGGGTAGTTTAACTGGAAGTGATTGTAAATCAGACAAAAGTATGGCATTCAGTTGAACAGAGCAGTGTTCGGAAAAGGGCTTAACAACGGGAGTGATAAACTAAACAAGGGTTCATGGAATAACCTCACAGTTGAGGATGATCAGACTCGATGAAGCTCAAAACAAATGCTTTTGTCAACATCTACTTAACGATAACGGTGTGTTGGCTACATTAATAGAGTCTACACGTACACTTGGGTTTTAATGTTTTCCTTGAATACTACACGTCCATCTAAAGTGAATTAATGCTTCAAATGGAGACGCCCTAAATGCCTCAATTTTTCAGTCGTCCCACGCCCAACTTTTAGACGCAAATTAAAAATATTAAAGCACCAATACGTAAAGTGAAACGGTCACAGAAAAAAAAACAACCATTTCAGCATACCGAATACTCAAAATTAATACTAACGCATTGCAGAAACTGGGTGCTTATATAAAATAGGCACACCAATTAAAAGCTAACTCACAAAAAGACAAACAATATAACCCTCGATATTCAAACATTTAAGAAAAAATAAAACTAAATCTTGTACATTTTACAGAAAGAATGACAACTAAAAGCGAAATATCACAAAATGAGAGTGAGAAAACGTGATTTGAACAACCAAACCACAGAACTACAGATCCTGCAGCAGCAGTAAACGCTTGTGGGACTGTCGATCCAAACGAACAACCACTGTGCAACTTAAGGGCGAAGACATAAACGTTGCCTGGTCCCCCGACGGTCATACCATTGCCGTTGGCAATAAAAACGATCTGGTACGTAGTAACCAGGTA